TAGTGAAAACCTTATTTTCTTCTTAAATTCTTTCTTTTTTGGTCTACCCTCAGTCTCAGCAGCCTGCTATGTTATAGGAAAAAAAGAAGCCATTTGTTGGGAATAACCTTCCAGGTCCTAAACATACAAATCTCCCTTTTATTACAATAAAAGAGTCTTTACCTAGAGTTTTTTCCTGTGCTTTGGATCTCATCCCTTTTGTTTTTAAAGAAAATTTTGCCAGAGGGCGTATACACTCATCAGAAAAAGAGAGAGAGGGAGAAAGCACCCCCCAGTGGGGCATGGTAATGCCATACTCACTTCTCTATTTCCCCATCCTGTCAGGAGTTTAGGCACACATCCATACTTGCCCAGCATGTTTCTGAAGCCACTGGGTCCAGGACTTAAACTGTGCAGTTGGTCATGTGGGATCTGATTCCCTAACCACCAGGCCATGGGCTAGCCCAGGATCCCATCTCTTCCTGCCTTCTTGGAAACTAACTCTAAATAAAGTATGAGGGGACTTTTAAAAAATTCATGGAAAAATGGAATTTATTTTGGTTCAAAAAAATTAAATCCATGCAGTTTTTTCATAATATATATTTTCTATCAAGTTTGTCTAGACTCTTTGTATTGATGATTACTTGTTATATATTCAACCAATTCCTCTCAATTTTATCTGTCTGCTTGATCCTATATATCCTTTCTACTGTCATTTTACCATATTCCTCATTTTCCAGGCAAACTTAAAAGAATAACTATTTTATACATCTATAATCCCTTTTCTAAAGCTTTTGGGACTTTGGGGACTTTTCTAAAGATTTAGTTCACAATTCAGAACTTTTTGAATTTTTAACTCGTTCATACCATCTAAGGGCATGATAGCCCAGTGGATTATAAAACACCAGCACCTGATAAACATGTTGACAATTTTGCCCTGGAATGTGTAGCTTTTCATTTTAGGTGATTCAAGATCCAGACCTGGAAACTTGGAAAGCATGCTTGGTGCATGTGCGAGCATGCCCAAAATCTCAAGAGGAGGGAGAAATGGAGGAGAAGGGATTGTAGTGTGACCATTCCCCGTGGGGGATACTTTTTTTTGTCCCCCCACCCCCTGTTTTGTTCTTGCTTTGGTCATCACAAGTACTCTCTAGCAAATTCAAAACAAAACAAAACAAAACTTTAATATACTTAAGTGCTTTAGAAATTTAAAATTATAGATGAGAGTAGTGGACGTGTACTTCTGTCTCTGAATTTTTTTACCTTCCTTAAATTTTTTAGCCCATTCTAGTACTTCTCTCAGATCTTTCATGTAGCTCTCACTGATTCTGCCAATGACTTTTATCTATAGTGATTAGATCACCAGTGGGTATTTTCAGTCCTCACCTCAATTGATTGACCAGCAGGCTTGGTCCTTGTGGTGCCAACTTCACACTCTCTTCCCTTAACTCCCTTGGAACTACCCTCTGGCTCTACTCTTGTGATTAGGCCCACCGTCCTCTCTCTTGTGATTAAATGCTGGAGCTCTTTCAAGGCTTTATCCTTGGGCCATCTTTTTTCTTTATACTTGCTCCCTTGATTATGTCACTTACTCCTGTGTCTTCAACTAATATATATTTTCTATCAAGTTTGTCTAGACTCTTTGTATTGATGATTACTTGTTATATATTCAACCAATTCCTCTCAATTTTATCTGTCTGCTTGATCCTATATATCCTTTCTACTGTCATTTTACCATATTCCTCATTTTCCAGGCAAACTTAAAAGAATAACTATTTTATACATCTATAATCCCTTTTCTAAAGCTTTTGGGACTTTGGGGACTTTTCTAAAGATTTAGTTCACAATTCAGAACTTTTTGAATTTTTAACTCGTTCATACCATCTAAGGGCATGATAGCCCAGTGGATTATAAAACACCAGCACCTGATAAACATGTTGACAATTTTGCCCTGGAATGTGTAGCTTTTCATTTTAGGTGATTCAAGATCCAGACCTGGAAACTTGGAAAGCATGCTTGGTGCATGTGCGAGCATGCCCAAAATCTCAAGAGGAGGGAGAAATGGAGGAGAAGGGATTGTAGTGTGACCATTCCCCGTGGGGGATACTTTTTTTTGTCCCCCCACCCCCTGTTTTGTTCTTGCTTTGGTCATCACAAGTACTCTCTAGCAAATTCAAAACAAAACAAAACAAAACTTTAATATACTTAAGTGCTTTAGAAATTTAAAATTATAGATGAGAGTAGTGGACGTGTACTTCTGTCTCTGAATTTTTTTACCTTCCTTAAATTTTTTAGCCCATTCTAGTACTTCTCTCAGATCTTTCATGTAGCTCTCACTGATTCTGCCAATGACTTTTATCTATAGTGATTAGATCACCAGTGGGTATTTTCAGTCCTCACCTCAATTGATTGACCAGCAGGCTTGGTCCTTGTGGTGCCAACTTCACACTCTCTTCCCTTAACTCCCTTGGAACTACCCTCTGGCTCTACTCTTGTGATTAGGCCCACCGTCCTCTCTCTTGTGATTAAATGCTGGAGCTCTTTCAAGGCTTTATCCTTGGGCCATCTTTTTTCTTTATACTTGCTCCCTTGATTATGTCACTTACTCCTGTGTCTTCAACTACCAGTTAGGTGCTGATGGACCACAACTCTATGCACAGCTACACACTTCATTGAGCTTGACCAGTAGTTCAACCGCCTACTTGTTATTCCTTTTTGCAAGTCTCAAAAGATCCAAATCCCTAGGACCAGCAGTTGACATAATGGCTATGTCTCTGGACTCCCATGTAGTCAGCCGCGGTTCGAGTCCTGTACCCGGTGGCTTAAACTCACACCGGGTGCATGTGCATGCGTGCCCAAGATCCGGAGACGAGAATGGAGGAGAAGGGATTGCGGTGTGGCCATCTCCCCGGGGCGGGGGAGGGGATGGTGATTTCTCGCTTACTGTCTCTCTCTCTCTCTGTCTTTTTTGGTGCACACATGCACCCGATAGCAAAAAAACTAATCAAAAAAAAAAAAATATCCAAATCCCTAGTATGTCCCAGTGTCATGAGTTGTGTTTAATCCAATAACTGGTTGTTTTCAGATGTTATCCTTTTACTTTCCCTCTACTCTCTCTTATTCCTCCCTCCCTTACTTAAGTCATTTTGGTGGCTGCCATTTCTTTAGAACAAACATTAGGGTCTTTGGTATGGTCTAAAGGTCATGCCTTGGCCTGTCCTCTTCTCCAGCTTCACTTAGCTTTCATTTCTTACAGCAGGGCCATTATCAGGTTATTCTCTGGAACACTCTTTTCTGATTAATTTCTATCCATTTTCTGTATCTTAACTGCAATTCTCACTTTCTTAGGGGAGCTCTTTAATTCATATGCCTTATAATCAATATTATAGCATTATATAGTTATTTATAATACTACTAACAGTTTTAATTTATTTATTTTTATTTTTTAAGAACTTTATTTGTTACTATTATTTTAAAACTTGCTATAGGGCAAGTGTGTTCACCAGAGAGAGACAGAGAGAGGGCAAGAGAAAGCAAGCTGTGAGTTCCAGGACTTGAACCAGGGTTGACCATGTTGGGAGTCTAGTGTCCTAACCACACCACCTGAAGGTCCCTATTTATTTGTTTATTTATAGAGACTTTTGCTACAGGGCCTGTGTGCTTGCCGGAGAGACAGAAACAGAGACAGAAAGTGAGAAAGCAAGAAATCACCTTTCCTCGGGGTGGGGTGGGGGGTGGCCACACTGCAATCCCTTCTCTGTTCTCCTCCTGGGATCTGGGTATGCATGTACATGAACCTGATGTGAGTTTTAAGCCATTAGGTCTGGGACTCAAACTGTGGTCAACTACATGGGAGTCCAGCAATGCAACCATTGTGCCATCTGCTGGTCCCGGTCCCTGTTTGTTTTTTTTACTCAGTGTTTTCCTCACTGGACTGTAAGCTCTCTTAGCACAAGTATTACATCTGCCCTTGCTCCTTTATATGAGGGGACTTCAAAAAGCTTATGGAAAAATAGAACTCAAGTATTTAAAAAAACTAAAATCCATAGATAAAAATAGCAAACGTATTGAGTGAATTCTCTACATTAATTTAACTTGACTTACTTTTTGTGTGTGGGGGGGGTCATGCATGCACATGTGTGTCCTGCATGTTTTTCAAGCTGCCAGGTCTGGAACTTGAACCTTGCAGTTGGCCATATGGGATCTAGTTGCCTTCACCACACCAGTGGCTGGCCTATCATTTTTAATTTTTTAAAGTAGTTTCTGTACATATATTTTCCAGTACAGTTTCCATAATTTTATGTGAACCCAATCATAATGATACTCTTTTTAAAAATTATAGATACTTTTTAAAAAATTCTCTGCATTATGTATATATAAAGATCAAATGCATGGAAGTCTGACTTTGATTCAGCTTATAATTTATCTTCCTCCTTGTTCTTATTTTTTTCTACATTGACCTCTCCATCTTTTTTGTGGGGAGGGTTCTCTCTTCATCTTTATATGTATCCTATATGTTAAAAAGCTTAGTGTTGGATGCAAGCAAAATACATGCAGTGGTTCTGCACAGTTCAGCTGATTCTCAACTTGTTCATCATTTTATCTCACAGGATTAAAAATAGTTTAGCCATCTGCTAACTGACCAGACAATTTTAGTATTGCGAGAGGGCGTGGTAGGAGAGGGAGGTCTAGGGTCTAGGTACAATGCCAGAGGAAGACTCAATGCTGAAACCGACTTGTGAGCTCTTAATACTGAAACTTAAAACAGTCAGTTCAAAATTAGGAAGAGATTTGGCCGAGGTTAAAGCAGAGTCCTGACAATAGGGGACTTCCCAGACAAGGATGATAGAAGAATTCCCTTCAGCACTTTAGTATCTCATTGCTTTTTTTTTTTTTTTTTAAGAAAAAAGATATGTGTGTAAAGATGTGAATTTTGTAAAAATAATCATAAGCTGTCATTTATATATCATACTTTTATAAATCAACTTTAATTAACCTTTTTTGTTTTCTTCTTTAATTAGGAAAATCAGTAGGTTCCCAGTCATCACGAAGTGAATCTGAAATTGTGCCAAAGGTTGCTAGAATGACTGTGTCTGGAAAGAAGCAAACTATGGGATTTGAAGTGCCTAGGTAAGATTTTTAAGCCCCTTTCCCACTTTTTTGAACTTAATATTGTTTCCTGGTACTCTTATAAGAAAGAGAATGTATTTTAAGTTTGCATAATAATATCATTAACATTGTATGTAAATGTTCTCAGTGTAACATAGTACAGAAAGAAGGAGATGAGAAATTAGGTTTGATTTCAGTCATACTTGCATGTATTACTTTATCTCACTGTCAATTTTATCACATTAATAATGTGTGGTTACTTTAAAAAAAACATGATTTTGTGCAATCTGGCCCTGTGAAATGCAGAATTCTTATACCACTAGGTGGCGGAAGTAAGCAGGGTTTGGAAAGTACTGTCAGTTGTAAATCACAGAATCACCAATTAGATTTTTTACTAACATATTTAAATTATTTTAGATTTTCATATTGAATAAAATGGGTTATTCTATAACAGTAAAGGCATATAAAATCAAACATACCTAAAATTTAAAATAACTAATGAAAAATGGTAGTCTGACATTAATAGCATTCCTTTGACAAAAACATTTCTTTCATGAGAGACACAGAGAGAGTGAAAGGTGCTCCCAGCTTGCTACCATGATCTTCCTACCATGATCCATCTGTAGTCTCAGCCAGCTTGGAACATAGGGACCCACACACATACTCACATGCTCAGGGAGGTCTCTGGCTGTAACCCAGGACTTCCCATGTGGGTACAGTGGTGTTACCACTGCGCTGCCACCTGGCCCCTCATTTCTTCTTATCACAATCTCTAGAATTCCTCCAGAAATTTTTATAAGCCAGGGAAGTGGGGATGCTTGAGGCTCAAAAGCACAGTTGGAAAACATTATTATTTATTTATTTTTTTTTTTAATATTTGCGAGAGGGTTTCATGAGCTCCCTGGAGAGGGAGAAGTGGGGAAGTGAGGAGGCAGCCCCTCCTACCCCCAGGGGAAGTGGTCATGCTCTTTTCCTCTACCTCTCCTTCCCTCCTTTCAGGATTTTGGGCACACATGCACATGCGACTGGTGTGTTTTTCAAGCTGCTGAGTCTGGGACTCCAACTGTGTACTTAGCCATGTTTGATTCAGCCACTTTAGCCACCATACCCCATGCTGGCCTGGAAACATTAGTTTTTAACCTATTTAAAATTTTTCAGTCATTCCTTAAATTCGTTACCTATAAATTATTTGTGTTTAAGACATGCTAGGTGTTTAGTATATATTAAGTTAATGACTGGATGATTGAAAGAGTTCATTTTTATCTCGAGTGACTTATTTCATTAAAAATTTTTGAATACCGATTCAGTCACAAAAAGCTTGCTGGATGTCTTTTTTTTTTTTTTTTTCTGTCTTAGTTTGGGTTGAATTGTCAGAATCATGACTACCCTTTTTGTCCTGTGTGTTGAGTACCATTTAATACTACTACTGGGTTATATTCATTGAGAAAGAGAAATATAAAGAATAGAATATAGGACCAGCAGGTGGCATGGTGGTTGAGGTACTAGACTCCCACATGGCTGAGTGTGGTTCAAGTCTTGGACCTGGCAGCTTACTTTCTCACTGTCCCCCTTGCTTTCTCTGTTTCTCTCTGATGATGATTGCATGTCCTATAACAAATTAAAATAGTAATAATAATAACAAATAAGTGTAAATAAAGTCTTCTTTTTAAAAAGAATATACAATTCTTTGTTTTAAAGATTTTATAATTTGAATGCAAAATATTTCAGAAGTCTAGAATATAATATGCAGGGGCTGACAGGTGGCGTGGTGGTTAAGGGGACTGGATTCCTACATGGCTGACTGCAGTTCAAGTCTCAGACCTGGTGGCTTGCTTTCTCACTTTCCCTCTCTCTCTCTCACTCTGTCCCTCTCTAGTCAAATTAAAAATAAATAAATAAAATAAAGTTAAATGAAAGAATATTTTTTAAAAAGGAAGTGATATGCAAACAAACCCAAGTTAATATACCATATTATAAATAAATTGTATATTTATCTAAATGAATAATGATAAAAGTAGTGGGTGATAAATAATTAAGATACAGAAATAAATAGTCAATAACAAGTAAATAGTTCTTGAAAACCTAGCACTGTATTTTACAAGTATAATACAGTCTCAGGCCTTCCAGAATTTTATAAGACTATATGCTTCATGAGTTCTGGGGTCATTAGTGTTCATCATGTGTTCTTTTCACAGAAAAATCATTTAAATATTTATTGATCAGAATTTAAATATTCAGGGAACCAGCAGTTAATGAAATGGCTATGTCGCTGGACTCCCACGTAGTTGACTGTAGTTCGCGTCCTGGACCCGGTGGCTTAAAACTCACGCCGGGCGTGTGTGCGTACGTGCCCAAGATCCCGAGAGGAGAATGGAGCAGAAGGGATTACAGTGTGGTCATACCCCCTGGGGGGTGATTTCTTGCTTTCTATCTCTATCTCTCTCTCTGTCTGTCTGGCGAGCGCACGTGCCCTATAGTGAAAACCTCTCCAAAAAAAAAAAGAAAAAAGAAAAGAAAAAAAAAAGAGAGAATTTAAATATTCATTGAGAGAACTAGCAGTTAGCATAATGGCTATGTCGCTGGACTCCCAGGTAGTCAACCGCGGTTAGAGTCCTGGACCCGGTGGCTTAAACTCATGCTGGGTGCCTGTGCATGCGTGCCCAAGATTATGAGAAGAGAATGGAGGAGAAGGGATTGCAGCATGGCCTTCCCCCCTGGGGAGTGATTTCTTGCTTTCAGTCTGCCTGCCTCTGTCTGTCTTTCTAGTGAGCACATGTGCCCTATAGCAAAAAACCTCTCCAAAAAAAAAAAAAAAAAAAAGAATTTAAATATTTATTCATCAGAAGACTTGGGAAAATATTTATTATTTTTAAAATATACTTGGAAATAGTGTAAAGGTTTCGGGAAAAAAACAAAACAAAACAAAAAACAGCCTGCCTGTCAACAGATTAATGTGGCAGTATGGAAAAAATTACCAGATTGTAAAAGGTCTATGGTTATAGATTTATATACTCGTAAGTGCTTAATACTATACTCAAGCCCAACAAGCTACTCTTTTAAAGGATGTTTTTGAGATTTATAATAGGGATAATACTTAGGCTATTCTGGTTTAGTCTCAAGAAAGAACCCAGGAACATAATGAAACACTTTGTATCAAGATTTCAGCATGGGGCCAGCAGGTGGCATGGTGGTTAAGGTGCTGGAATTCTCACATGGTCAACTGTGGTTCAAGTCCCAGGCCTGGCAGCTTGCTTTCTAACTCTTCCTCTCTCACTCTCTCTACCTTTCTTCAGCAAAATTTATGTGGAAAAAAAAAAAATGATAAATAAATAAATAAATAAATCTTTAAAAAAAGTTTCAGCAGCACACATTTCTACATAGTGTGATTCCCAATGATGTCTTACTGAAAAAAAGAGAATGCATTGCTTTGAAGGATAATGAATTGCTTTGTTTAAAAGAGCAAGCTTTTTCTTCACTAGTATTAGAGATAGTAAGTATCTCTCTAGAAAATGAATATAAGTAGAAATGGTTAGAACATTGCATATATTAGGTTGGAAAGTCATGATACATTTTTTTTTGTTTTTGTATGCAAAAGTGCTTCATGACTTTCTGACCACTCACTAGAACAGCTACTTTGTGTTCAACCTCTTAAATCTACACTGTTAGCTTTTAAGTATCTAACTCAAGATGAAAGATTAAACATCTAGACTGGTATATAATTATTTTGGAAAAGTAATTTAGGGGGGAAAAAGAGACTATTTTATATTAGGTAAGGTTACACAATTATACCAAAATTGCACCTGAAAAGTTTCCATCAGCTTATTCTTTTTATAATATTGTAGTTTGAATGTCCCTTCCAAAACTCATGTTGAAATTTTATTGCTGTTGTGATGGTACTAAGATGTGGGACCTCGCCCAGCTGCAGTTGTATATACTGGTGGATGCTGCTACTTGGCAGCACAAGGAAAACTGGGGCTTTATTCTTGACCCACCCTAAAAGCTGGACATGGTAGTGTTCACTGATATTCCCAGTGAGGTTGAGGGAGGAATGTTGCTATATAGTGAACCTCTGTCTTGAAAAATAAAAAAAGAAGAAGAAGAAAAGAGGTAGGACCCTTACAAGGTGATTAGATAATGAAGGCTCTGCCTTCATGTGTGGATTAATGGCATTATTGCTGAAATGGGTTAGTTATCATGGAAATTTGGATGCCATTTTCTCTGTTACTCTTGCATTCTTACCCATCTGCCAAGGGAAGAAAGACCCTTTCCAGATGCTAGCAATCATGCTCTTGGACTTGCCAGCCTCCAGAACTGTGAATCAGATAAACTTCTGTTATTGTTAATTTACCCAGTCTCAAGTGTTGTGTTATACCAGCACAAAACTAAGACACATGACAGTCACTAATTACAGTCCTGAATGCAGAATGCTCAATTTTGGACAATGTTTTAGAGATGTTCAATCTTACAACATTGCTTTTATTCATAGTATAAAGAAGTTTTTATTCCGTGCAGACTTACCTAGGATGCTTTTCTAATTACTTTGGTTACTTCTCCCTAACATTACAATTTTCATGTGTTAATCTGAAGTTTATCTAAGATTTACTTAATGAGAATATTATTCTGAAAGTGAGAGAAAAGTAAACTTCTCGTTTTATTTAATTGTATACTAAAGTCAGAGCTATGTTTTGAGAAATTTCTGCCCTAAGCAACCTCTCTAAAGACTGCCTGGATTGGTGGGTGAGTTAACCTTCAATTCTCTACCCATTTTGTCAGCTATGACCAGTTTGCTTTTATCTGTTTTCCAGATCAGATTTACTGTGAGCTTTCCTCTGAAGAAAAGATTTAGTAGCTAAAAAGAAACAAAAACAAAAGTGGAGCCACAGATTCTGTTTTCTTCTAGGCCTGATCAGAACCAGAGCCTATGTTACAGTTGTAGTATAGTCGTTTAATAGAAGAGTCTCATTGTAATTCATCTCTGAATGCAGTAAAACCATGTTTTAGTTTTAGAACTAGCTGTCGTCATTCAAATAAAGGTTTACAAAAGATAATGTAAGTTTGATTTTACTTAATTTAGCCTGTTACACTATCCTTTAAAAGTACAGGAACATGAGCCAGCACATAGCATGGTGGTTAAGCACTGGACTCCCACGAGGCCCATCACCACGATTTGCTGTGTGCATGTATATGTGTGTGCCCAGAATCCCATGAGGAGAATGGAGAAGAAGGGACTATGGACTGTAGCGTGACCATCCCTCCAGGGGTGATTTCTCACTTTCCCTCTCTGTCTCTCTCCCGGGAGCACACGACGCCCTATGCCAAAACCTAAAAAAGAATAAAAAAAAAATTACAAGAACGTTTCTTGTACACGTATTTTTCTTCCCTAGTAGTTCAGTATGAAGCTAATATATATAAGTAGTGCTAAAAAAATGAGCAGCTAAATTAATTCGTGGGGATTTGAAAAAAAAATGAGAATGGATATTAGGTTTTTAATAATGTTGCAATTCTAACTAATATGACTCTTCCTGAAGAATATGATAAAAGGTTAAATGTCAGGCATATAAAAATGCCCTGAGAGGGAAAACATAGTCAGTTTTTATTATTATTATTATAATGGGAAGGAAAAAAATAGATTACTTTTCTTACACATTTCCACTATACTGTAATCATAAATGATTATTATAAACTATTCTCTGTGTGTAACTATTCTCTGCAACTCCATATTGAATTGGATATAATTAACTTCATTTTTGACTTGAAATTTAACCTGCTCTTTGTCCTAGTTCTGTTTATCCACGGTTGTTACAAGAAAGGTGGTATTGCAGACTGGCTGATCAGGTCACATTCTTCATAGCCATCCTTGGGATAGCACTACTACCAGTTTCTATGGGAAGCAGTTAGAGAGTTAATGAAGAACTAAAACTGGTGTTTACTTTTGAGGACATCCTCATGACCAGGGAAGGATAAATTAAAGCGAGGTGGTTTTATTTCTACTTTATATACCTGAGTCCCTCAGATCATAAGCTTTTGGGAGTGTAGATAACTTTTTCATTTCTGTAGCCTCTTTTCTTCTCATCATCAGTGCCTCGTATATGTTGTAGTTTTTAGTAAATCAAGTGTTTGTTGAATTAATGAATTAAAGCCCTTTTGTCAAAAATATTCAAAAAATGTAGCATTTCAGAGATTGCCATTGTGATGGTATTACTCTATTTCTCCCTTAGGTTTTAAGTTTGAGCCAAAAATATCATAAGTTTATCCTGTCAGAAAGATGAGTTAGGACTAAAACTTCTTTTAATTCTCATTTATCTTTCAATGCATTTGGTATAATTTTTATAAAATATTCTTTATGCATACCATTTGTTCTGGTAGGATTGATTAAATGGCTAAAATATGAGTGAAGACTAAATTTCAGTTAGTGTATAGGGTATTTTCTTCTCATCTTTATTTTTGGTAGACTGTTTTTCTCCTGGAATCTTCCAAGTCTGAATTTGCATGGTTTGGCTTTAGCTGCTTATCATCTCCACCTTAGCAGACTCTAGCCACTTAGCCGACATTTTAATTTAGAGTGTAAAGGATTATGAACAGATAACTTCTTTGCCCTTTTGACATTGTAGGACTTCAGTCAAGTTGGTTTAAAACACTTTTTTTCCGTATCTGGTTTCTGTAGAGTAACAGCTGAAGAAAATGGTCATAGTTTCCACACACCTCAAAAAGGACCTCCTAGTGAAGATACAAGCGTTGGTTCTTCTGATGCTCTTGAGAAATCAGCTCTTGCAACCCACACCATTCAAGTACCAGAAGAGCAGAGTTCAGCACTAACACCAGTGAAAAAGTCTGGCAAGCTGAGGCAGCAAATAGATGTGAAAGCAGAACTGGAGAAGCGACAAGGAGGGAAGCAGCTCCTCAACTTAGTGGTCATTGGTAATGCCCTTTGTTCCTCTGCGTTGTCTGTCAAATCGGTTTCAGCCTGACAACTTCCTAGGGGCAGTGTGGAAACTTTGAGTTTCTGTGTAGGTGTAAAGCAAGGAGGTATTGCATCATAATGCTTTCTAGCCACTGTGAGTGAAATAATATCAAGGTACCAAGGAGGTTGGTAGATATGGTTGTGGAACTTTCATTTTGCAAACATTTTGAAAATGACATGTCTTGTTGACAGTCTTATTTCTAAAAATCAAGGAGGTTTTTATCCTCCCTAAAGAGACATGCTCTTCCCTCCCATTTAGATGTTTTAACTGTCACTTGTTAAAAATTAATATTTATTACTTGAAATACTGACATGAACTATTAAATTACACTTTCATACAATGGCTCATTGTGAACATTTGAAAAATGTACCTAGTATTAATCCTGAATCCATTTTCCTTAGGTCATGTTGATGCTGGGAAAAGTACTCTGATGGGCCATTTGCTTTATCTTCTGGGAAATGTAAACAAAAGGACGATGCATAAGTATGAACAAGAATCTAAAAAAGCTGGCAAAGCTTCATTTGCATATGCATGGGTCTTGGATGAGACAGGGGAAGAACGGGAAAGGTACTGTATTTCACCATTTTCAGTTTGAAATGATACCGTCTTTTAAAAATCAGTATATACTATGGGACCAGCAGTTAGCGTTATGACCATGTTGCTGGACTCCCATGTAGTCAACCGTGGTTCGAGTCCCGGGCTTGGTGGTTTAAACTCATGCTGGGTGCGTGTGTGTGCATGCCCAAGATCCCATGAGGAGAATGGAGGAGAAGGGATTATGGTGTGCCCATCCCCTCCGGAGAGTGATTTCTTGTTTTCTGTCTCTGTCTCTATCTTTCTGGCAAGCGCACGTGCCCTATAGCAAAAATCTCTCTCTCAAAAAAAAAAATCAGTATGTACTGTATATTGAATATATGAAACGTGAAACACTATAGAGAAATAGTATAGCCATATAGATATAACTTGATTACAGCAGAAATCCCAGCTCCAATTTATAGATTTACTATTCAAAAATAATGGCCAACATAATAAAATTTCCATTATTATTTAAGAATTTAGATATTCATTTAGTTTATTATTAATTTAATCTGTAACTCTGATTAAATGTGTAGTGCATTCTAACTCTTCTATGTTTTGTTTAAGGGGAGTAACAATGGATGTTGGTATGACAAAGTTTGAAACTACAACCAAAATTATTACATTAATGGATGCTCCAGGCCATAAGGATTTCATTCCAAATATGATTACAGGGGCAGCCCAGGTACCAGATATTTTCTTAACTGTATTATACTGATTGTACATAAAATTTCCTGATGCTAAGGTTATAATTCTAGGATTTTTGCTTTTTTTTAAAGAGAGATTTTTGCTATAGGACACATGTGCTCTCCAGAGAGACAGAGACAGAGAGACAGAAAGTGAGAAATCACTCCCCGGAGTGATAGCCATGCTGCAGTCCCTTCTCCGCCATTTTTCTCTCTGGACTTTGGGCATGTACACATGCCCGACGTGAGTTTTAAGCTGCCAGGGCCGGGACTTGAACTGTGATTGCCTACATGGGAGTCCATAATGTAATCTGCTGGTCCCTTTAGCTTTTAAAATATTTTAAAATTAGGAGTTTCAACTATTAGAAAGATTGAAAATTTAGAGAAATACTGTATTTTCATGATCTCTTTATAAGAATTTCTTTTATTAATAAGTTGGAGTGAATACTTTTAGACCTGTCTTATTACTCTATATTCAAGTCCTGAATCTTTTTTTTCTTTTTCTTTTTTAATAGTTTTTGCCACAGGGCACTTGTACCCACTGGAGAGAGACAGAGATATCCAGAGAGAGGAATAATGAGAAATCATCCCCCAGGGGGATGACCATGCCACATTCCCTCCGCCTCCCTTCTTCTCTCAGGATTTTTGGCATGCGCACACATGCCCCTGGCATGATTTTCTTAGTTCTTTTCTCTCTTTAAGAATTATTTAATATTATTAGTTTTTTGGGGGTTTTTTTGTATAGAGAATTTTGCTATAGGGCACATGTGCTTACCAGAGAGACAGAGAGAGAAAGCGAAAAATCACTCCCCAGGGAGGATGGCCAGGCTGTTGCATCCTCTTCTCTTCCATTCTCTTCTCAGAATTTTGGGCACATACACACACATGCCTGGTGTGAATTTAAGCCTCTGGGTCTGAGACCTGAACTACAGTTGACTACATGGGAGCCCAGTGATGTAACCATTATGCCATCTGCTGGTCTAAATTGTTAGTTTTATTTTTAATTTGCTATAGGGCACATGTGTTCACCAGACAAAGACAGACAGAGAAAGTAAGAAAGCAAGCCACCAGGTCCTGGACTTAAGCCACAGTTGGCCATGTGGAAGTCCAGCACCTCAACCCCCATACCACCTGCTGGCCCCAAGTCCTATACCTTTTTAAAGAGTTAACGATAGTTTATACTGAACTAATGAGGTTTGGGGTCTTACCCCTAGTGTTTTATTTACTTTCTTTATTGGATTAAAGAATAATTGTAATTTGTAAACATATGATTCGTAATTAGGATACTGAAAAAAACCATAGTGATATAGCTTTAAATTAAACAATGAAAATAACACTGCACATACAGACCATTGATTTCTTTCATAATGAGTAAGTATTGGACAACCAGAAAAGGTAAAAATTAGGCTCTGTCCTGTAAAATGTGTGAGTTAAAGCAATTTACCATTATCTTTTTCACTCAGTGACTGCTTACTGAATGCCTGTTATGTACCAAGCAGTGTAGTGTGGGGATATGACTACAAATCATGTTTTGATATTTTAATGGGAAAGAAACAACAGAACACATATTTACAATGAAACGCTTTTTAATTCTAGAACCTTTGAGTCCAGATGATTTAGTCCAAACTTCTTATGGAATTGGGATAAGAAAGGATTGTAGAGATTATCTAATTGAATTCTGTTATATAAGAAAGAAAGAAATAGAGTAAAAGATATTAAGTAATTTACCCAGTAAGCAAAATGCTAGATTTGGGGGGACATAAAGAAGCACACAGGGCATGCTCAAGGAAATCACAGGATAGAAAGATAGGACATGTGAAGATGTAAAGGTTAATGTAAGAAGAATAATGCACAGTACACATTATGAGGAGAAATTGCTTTATATACTGCTTGATCATAAAAGGTTTTTTTTGAAAATGTGTAGGAATTTGAGGTCCCAAAGGCAACAGCTAGTGTGTGGAAAGAATATTAATAGAGAAAAATCACCCAGCAATTTTTTGGAAATGGTAGTAGGAAAAAGATTAGTTTGAATACTTATGGCCCATAGGTGAATTTCAGATTTTTAACTTAAGAAGGTGAATACAATTTTATTGTTATTAGCAAAACCTGGTCAGAAGAGATTTGCATTTATTCAGTCTAGGATTTGCAAACTCAGGGCTGAGTGCTTTATATTTACCCCACAGTGTTGCTCTGAAGTAAATTGATAACCCAGAGAGATTAGACCACTTGCCTGAGGTGTGAGGCTTGTTAGTTACTACAAGTATAAGTGAAAGAGCCATTTTTCAAATTGATTGCTCCAGGTTGTACTCTTTAATGAACAGTGGTTGATTGAAAGAACTGGATCTTATTGAAAAAATTAGTTTTCAGTGTTATAAATCGTGGAGGATTAGAACTGAATAGTGCATTGAATAGTAGAAGTAGAGTGAAAGGAGTATTTGGGTAAGATTAAAAGTAAAAAAAACCCAATAGTGTAAATGTCCCTAGCAGACAAAGCATATAGATGCTACTACTTCCAATTAAAATTATAAAGTTCTTTTAAGATCAAAATATCTTGGGACCAGCAGATGGTGGAATGGTAACATTGCTGGACTCCCATGTGGCCAACCGTTGTTCAAGTCCCAAACCTGGCAGCTTGAAACTCATGCTGGGCATATGTGTGTGCCTGGCCAAAATCCGAGAGAAGACGGGATTGCAGCGTGGCCATCCCCCCGGGGTGGGGGGGATTTCTCGCTCTTTTTCTCTCAGTTTCTGTCTCACTGGGGAGTACACGTGCCCTGTAGCAAAAATTTCTTGAAAAAAAAATAAGAGCAAAGAATCTGATAGATTCTTGACTTCTTTTATAATTTAATTTCTCATTTGCCAAGAGATCATGTATGTGAAATTCTTTAAAAGCTGAGCAGCACGAACATAATGTGTCATTATGGAAGCAACAAGGCAAAAGATACATGTGGACTCTGTTCTGAAAAAGGCCAGAGAACTTAAAGATGTAGATGGACTATAAAAAGCACCTTGTGAGAAAGCTGTGGTCATGTAATAATCTGAGACAGTCTTTAAAGAGGAATGTCATTTAATCATTGTGTCCTGGATTACAGGAAAGCAGGTACCTGCTTGAATTGTGTGATACATTTCTTGTTTGCAGCTATGCATATAAGACAAAACTGTTAAAGAAAAAATGAAAGTGTTCTTTAAAGATTATCCTGACAATGCGTGAAATAATTGAAAAGAGTAAAAATAGAGGAACATTTATGGCTGCACCAACTGTTTATTGTGAATTTTTAAAGGCTGAATTTACCAGATGAAAATAGAATCACCTAAAGACACATCAACAGAAGACTAGTGGGAACCTATAAAGCTAGTTTCAATAGGCTAACATGAAAAATGAGCTAAGCTGAGGTTGGCCTTTTCTTTGTTCTTTTGTATGTGATTTGATTATACAAGGAGAAATGTCTCTGAATCCAGTTGACAAAATGGTCCACAGACGTTAGAAAACTTTGCTGTACAAGGTTGTTTTTCAATAGCTGTAGGAGGACAAATCTGCCATGTTTTCATCATTATAAACAATACTCTGATGAGTATCTTTGTAGATCTATAATTGTTTCTTTAGTATAAATTCCTAGAGGTGGACCTGATGGAAAGTAAAATATAGATAAGCCTCAGAGTCTTTACCTGTTGTGAAAATGCCCTCAAGTCCCATCAGCAGTGTGTGAGAATGCCCACCTCACTACATCCTTGCCTACTGTAATAATTATGTCATTTAAATCTTTAACCAGGTTATTTGTGAAAGTAGGGGCGGAGTTGATACAGTTTTACTTTCCTTTTGGTTTCTACTGTTTGAATTTTTTCATATTTATTGGCCATTTATATTTCCTCAGCAAATTGCTTGATTATATCCTTAACTAGTTTTCTAGGGAGCAATGTCTTTTTTTGGTTGTTGTTGTTTATAATGACTATATTAAAATTATAACTTTACCTTACATGTTGTAAATGCTTGTCTCTGTTTACTTGTGTTTTAATTTTGTTTGTTTTTTTCCCTCTTTGCTTAGGTATTTTTGTTGTTATATAATCAAATATGAACTTTTTAAAAATCTTTTATGTCATTTTTGGTATTTTTGGTATCATGCTAGTCCATGCTATTATGTGTCTTTTACTTTTTATTTTATGACTATTTTAAAGTTTCAAAGAGTAAGAGAGAGAGAGAGAGAGAGAGAGCCATCTCTTACAGCAGGTGCTGCAACCCACTTCCTATCCCAAGTCTTAGCTGGGTCAGACCACAGGCATACTCAGGGAATTCCCCGGATGCAAATCTAGGACTTTTCCCATGTAGGTCCAGTTATGTTACTGCTATGCTACCAACCAGGCCCATATATTTAATTAAAAAAAAATTAATCCATCTGTGGAATTCTTTTGTTTGATTTATTAAATACTTTGTTGTTTGGTGTAAGGTTGGGATCAGGTTGGGGTCTGCATTAAAATCTGACCAACACAATTAATTGAATAATTTATCCTTTGTATTAAAATGCTCTGACATTTCAGTTTTGATTATTTTTTTCTTCCTTAGGCAGATGTAGCTGTTTTAGTTGTAGATGCCAGCAGGGGAGAGTTTGAAGCTGGATTTGAGACCGGGGGACAGACACGAGAACATGGCCTCCTGGTCCGTTCTCTTGGAGTGACACAGCTTGCAGTTGCAGTCAACAAAATGGATCAGGTATTTAAGGGTTTTGTGAGAACTAATTTTAGATGCTAATTAAGATATCCTGTTTATAGATGACATCAGATGTGACTAGTGGTGACTAGTGTTCATTTTATTATTCAAGGTGCTGTATTTTAAAAAATAAATATACTATCTGATGTTTATTTTAGTAAGTGAGATACGGGCAATTTTAAGCAAAATGTCTTCCTATTTTCAAAATAAATTTTTAAAACAAAAATGGTTTTTAATTATAAGATACACACTTATTGTAGAATGAAGGTATAAAAAGTAGGAATAACCTGTATTTCCTATTTATTTTCCCCCCAAAAAAACTTACACTTTACTTTATACATCTCTACCCTATTTACTTTTGTAAATGAGGACCTTTTTCTTTATAACAGTGGCTTATAGTGTTTATAATCTGCTTTTTGAAAAAAATAATGATATGCTTTTTGAAAAAAATGATAATATCCTGTCCTTGTGCATATGTCAAGTAATTAATAATTCTTGGAGAAAGAGGTGTTTTTATGGGTTTACTCTAATCACTTTTCTTTCCTTTTTTTTTTTTTTTTTTTTTAAGATTTCTGTTATAGCGTGCATGTGCTTGCCAGAGAGAGGGAAAAGTGAGAAATCACCCTCCCCTCTCCTCTAATACCCCCCACCCCCCTGGGAGGGATGGCCATGCCACATTCCCTCCTCCTCTTGTGATTTTAGGCATACATGTACATGCACTCTGTGGTTTTCAAGCCACCAGGGCCAGGACTCAAACAACAGTCTTGCCCATGTGGGATCCAGTGCACCACCTGCTGGTCTCTTATTCTAGTCAATTTTAAATATATAATGTTTTCAATCAGTCTGTTTTTGAACATTTCCATTTGTATGTTTGTGCCTGTGTATGTGTGTGTGTATATTCAGAAATGATTTGTTTTGTGGAAATGTCTTAGCCTAAGGGTATATACATTTTAAGATTTGCTGAACATGATGAAAATGACTTTGAGAAAGTTCTCATTATTTACTCTCATCTAATTATTTATTCTAATTAGTTTACTCTAGTTATTGGCACATAATGGCATATTCACTTCCCAAACTCTCATCAGCACTGTTGCTATTTGGTTTAGTATACAAAATATGATTTTTTAAAAAGTTTATTTATTTTATTTTTCTCCAGGAGCAAGAGAGAGAGTGAGTGAGAGTGCACACCCCCACAGGGTTCTGATGCCACAGTTCACCTCCAGCCCATTAATTTTGAATCATGGGCACACACACACCTGTTGTGTTCAGAGAGGTCTCTGAATATGAACCCAGAGCCTTCCCATGTGGGTTACCCTTGCAGAGTAACATGTTTTACTACTGCACCACTGCCTGGTCCACTGAATAGTTTCTTTTTTTAAATTTCATTCTTTGGTGAATGTTAATAATATTTGAACATATTTTATATATCAGCTACTTGCTTACTTGTTTTGGGAAAATTTAATATAATTTTATTATTTTTGGAACTGCATTTTCCTTTCTTTTTTGTCATAGGGCATATGTGGTTGCTGGAGAGAGAGAGACAGATAGAGAGAGAGGGAAAGTGAGAACTCACCCCCCAGGGGAGGTGGTCACACTGCAGTCCCTCCTTTCTGTTCTCCTCTTGGGGTTTAGGGCACTCATGCACACACTCATAGAGTGATTTTTAAGCTACAAGGTCTGGGACTTGAATTGTGGTTGGTCATGTGGAAGTCAAGTGAATTAACCACAAAACCACCTACTGGCCCTAGAACTGTATTTTTCTATTTATCAATATATAAGCATGCTTTAATTATTAATGACATTATTTCTTTATCCTCTTCTTTGGATGTTTTTCCTGATTTGTTATTTTAATTTTGTTTATGGTGTATTTTGGATATACATGCACATTTTTAAATATTTTCTTTATACTTAGATATTTTCTTGCCCTCGGGTCAAATAAATATTCACCTATATTTTCCATTAGTTCTCTTTTTTGGTCTTATCATTGCCTATACTTTTTATTTTTTTCCCAGCATTTTAGTATTAAAGTCTTCAATGTAAAGAAAATTATAAAGAATTAACGTCCTAAAAAAAGAGTTAATGTCCATCTTATGTCCACTGCTTTAGAGTCTACTACTTGGCTGATCATGTTGATTTTGTTTTTTTTAGAGAGAGGTTTTTGCTATAGGGTATGTGCACTCATTGGAAAGACAGAGAGAAACATAGACAAAAAGTGGAAATCACCTCCTGGGGGAATGGGTGATAGCCACACTGCAATCCCTTCTCCTTCGTTCTCCTCTCGGGATTTGGGACAAGCATGCACATGCACCTGGAGTGAGTTTTAAGCTGCTGGGTCCAGGATTTGAACTGTGGTCGACTACATGGGAGTCCAGCAATGTAACCATTATGCCATCTGCTGGTCTCTGTTTTGGGATTTTTAGACAGGGTCTCTCACCATGTCAAGATCCTCTTGTCCTAACCTTCAGGTGCAAGTAGAGGTGCCACTATTCCCAGTTCCTTTTTTTTTTGTCTGGGTCTCACTGTGTTGCCCAGGCCAGCGTTGAGCTTATGATCCTCCTTCCTCAGCCCCCAAGTTGCATGCTGCTGTTCCTGTCCTTTTGGGTTAGAACAAGAATCACATTGAGGCTTCCATATTGTCCCAGCCTTCAGAGCATAGCATCTTACTAGCACATGCCACTGCAGCTGGGCCTCAGTTGCATTTTTATCTGTCTGTTTCTTTACCCATCAATTAATCCATCTTAGTTACATGCATTTCCACATAAGTTGCAGGCATTAGTACATTTACTTCTAAATACTGCACTATACACGTTATCTAGGGCTTATATTGAGTATACTTTGTTAATTATTATTATTTTTTATCCTTGGGTGTCAATAACTTGACCTTATTCTAATAGTAGGTTCAAGCAAAATTTAATTAATAAAATACTCACTTTTTCTCCCCACATTTGAAATCACTATTAGCATTTATACAAAAATTCTAAATTTATTGGTGACTATTTCTAGACTTTTTGTTTCAGAAAAAATTACTTTTGCTATAGGGCGTGTGCACTCTTCAGAGAGACAGAAAGTGAGAAATCACCTCCCGTCCCCGAGGGGATAGTCATGCTGCAATTCCTTCTCCTCTAATCTTCTCCTGGATCTTGGGCATGCACGCACACACACACATGCACTCAGGGTGAGTTTCATGCCCCCAGGTCCGGATCTAGAACCACAGTCGAATACATAGGAGTCCAGTGATGTAACTATTACACCATCTGCTGTTCCCAAGGTCTTATATTCAGAATTTTAATTTTTATTAAGTAATTTCATAATTTGTAGATTTTATATTTTATATGGACTTGATTATTTACATTTTATTGCAGAAATTTAAATTTTATATATTATGTTCTGAAGTGTTGTTTTAAAAATAAATTGGATCTTTATTAGGTTAATTGGCAACAAGAAAGGTTTCAAGAGATTACTGGAAAACTTGGACACTTTCTTAAGCAAGCAGGTTTTAAGGTAAGATAATTTTAAATTTATTTGGTTATTACTTTTATTAAGTCATTATACTGATAGGAAAAACTTAACTCTGATATTCTTGTCTTATTAAATATATTTAGTTTGTTTTGCTTTGCTTTCTTCCTGGTATCATTATATAATATATCCTTTAGTTTACCTCATCTTAGAGAATTATTTAATATTTGACCTTGATTTTATTTAAGTAAAAGATTTTATTCTTACCTATTAAATTAGATGATAACAGGTTGAGGGGGGTTCACAGAGAAATGTAGAAACTAGTACAGAATAACTTCTTCAGCAAAAATTTATAATATGCTTGTGTCACCTAGTAAAAATGATTGAGTGTTTTGGAATAAATTTGTAGATTTCCCACAAAGTCAAAAAAGTTTGAAGCTGTTCAGTCAGATAACTTCAGGGATATAGTTCTATGATTTCTATTACTTTGCAAAAAGTACATATTGTTGATGCAGACTTAGAACAGTTAATTAATGGTGAACCTTTAACTTTTTTTAAAGCAGTGTTGTATCAAATTTTATTTATTCAATGTTTTTAATAGGAGAGTGACGTAGCTTTTATCCCTACAAGTGGTCTCAGTGGTGAAAATCTAATCACAAGATCTCAGTCAAGCGAACTCACCAAATGGTATAAAGGGCTATGTTTATTAGAACAAATTGGTAAGTATTCTGCCATTTAGCTTTAATGCATTATAAATTTGATACTAATTATTATGCTAATTATTGTTTATTATTATACCCTCTACTAAAAGGGATATAGTAATGTATATGAAAAAAAAAACCCCAAAAACATAGGATTTGTAGTAAGAAGAGCTGGGTCACCAGATTTGAAATCATATGTGATATTTAAAGTGTCTAATACTTCTTTTTTCTCATTTAATTATTGAGGTTACCTGACCTTTCTCATTGACTATTGTAGAAATTAAATGAGATACATATGTGAATATAACTTAGGAACTTCAAAGTATTGTGTGAGTGATAGCCAATTTCCTATTAGTATACAGGATAACTATTTTCTAGGAGAAGAGGAACTATAATGAATTCATTGGAGTGGTTCAAAAATTACATTTTAAATTAAACTCTACTTTCGGCCTTTTTTCCAGACTCTTTCAAGCCACCCCAACGATCTATTGATAAGCCGTTTAGATTATGCGTGTCTGATGTTTTCAAAGGTAATGCTACCTTTACAGTGCTTTTTCGGTACAGCCCCTTCCTTTCCACTCTCTCCTGGCCTCATTAACTGAACTAAATTATTGTTTAGGCTTTCCGTTCTCTGTACCAATGTATGGATCACTGTCAAATTCATTGTAAAAAGCACAATTCTAGTCATTGTTCCTCTGTCCAGAGAAACTTTTAGTTTACTCACCATTCTTCATTTCATTCTCATCTTTCAGGCATAAGAGAACCTTATCCTTTTTCTTTCTTTCTTTTTTTGTTTTTTTTTAAAGAATTATTTATTTTAGGGACTAATAGATGGCATAATGGTTATGTTCCTGGACTCCCATATAGTCGACCACAGTTCAAGTCCCGGAGGGAGCAACTTAAACCTCACATTGCGTGTGTGTACGTGCATGCTCAGGATCCTTCGAGGAGAATGGAGAAGGGATTGAGGTGTGGCCAACCCCCTGGGGGAAATTTCTTGTTTTCTGTCTCTCTTCTCTCTGTCTCTCTGGTGAGCACATGTGCCCTGTAGAAAAATCTGTCTCTCTCAAAAAAAACCTATTTATTTTAGTTATCATTATTACTTTTTTTTTTTTAATTTGCTCTAGGGCAAGTGTACTCACCAGATAGACACACATGTACACACACACACACACACAGAAATGAGAAAACACACTGCCAGTTTTTGGACTCTGACCACAGTCACCTATGTGGGAATCCAGCACCTTAACCACTATACCACCTGCTGGCCCCATTCTTTTTCTTTCTAACCTCGTATTTTTCTCTTCTTTTAGATCTCTTTAGTTTCATATCCCCCTACTAAACTGGATCACTTACTGTTCTTTTTAAATTTTTTTATAAGGTTTTTGCCATACGGCACATGTGCTTGTCAGAAAGAAACAGAGAGATGGAAGTTGAGAAATCACCCTCCAGCAGAGATGACCACACTGCACTTCCTTCTGCTTCATTCTCCTCCTGGAATTCTGGGCATGTACACATGTGTGCCTGGCATGATTTTCAAGCCACCAGGTCGGGGACACAAACTGTAGTCGGCCATGTGGGAGTCCAATGTCTTAACCAACATGCCACCTGCTGGTACTTAACCATCCCACATACTGTTTTTTAACCATATAGGTCATAATTGCCACTATGACTACCCTTTCTTTGCCTGTTTATTTATTTTGTTTGTTTGTTCATTTTTGTTTTTTGTTTTTTGAGAGAGATTTTTGTTGTAGGACACTTGTACTCGCTAGAGAGACAGAAAGCAAGAAATCACTCCCCTGGGGGTGGCTGGCCACACTGCAATCCCTTCTCTGTTCTCCCCTTGGGATTGTGGGCATACAAACATATGTGCCCAGCCTGAGTTTAAGCCACCTATTCTGGGACTTGAACCACGATTGTCTACAAAGGAATCCAGTGACGTAACCATTATGCCATCTGCTGGTCTCGTCTTCTTTTTCTTTACTTTCCCATTCCTATCTATGTGTAGTGGATTCAGTTAATAGATAGATATGACACACTAGTAAATTAGGAATTTAATATGAAGAAGTATTAACTGTGATAAAGAGTAACTAAGAAATAAGGAAACTATGTAGTACCATAAGGCTGAAGGAGGCCAAACATAGAAGAGGTTCAGACCTCCTTGAAGACGGGATAGAATTAAATACCTAAGAATAGATCCAACTTAATACATATTATAAGGCCCTTTATAAAAAGTTATAAATGGAAATTGAATAAATATCTAGATAAACAAAAGGACATATCATTTATATATAAATACACTGTAAATATGTCTGTTGATCCCCCCAAATCACTATTATCATAGAGTAGCCAATGAAGAGTAAGTAGATTTAGGACTGAGTAACAGTAAGTTGGTAACTGGCATGGTTACCAACGCACATACCCTCTATATTCTCTTTCATTGCGTTTTTCATGCTTTGTTACCATTGTTTCTGAACTGTTCATTTTACTTAGATTATGAATTCCTTGAAGACTAGTGTTGTCTCTTCTGTATCTGTTTCTGTAGGGCCTAGCCCAGTGCCTGCACCAAATATGTGTTAATAAATGAATATTAGATGAATGAATGAAGGTACTTGAGAAAAGCCATCTAGTGGACATGAAATTTATCATTATCATCATTTGCTTCCATTATTCTAGTAGTAGAAGGAAGATGGTCATGGTTTCCAAGATGTGTATTAAAAACATCATACGTAATGAGGCAGTTATTTTCTTTAATTAACAATGTTTGCTTATTACTCTCTCATCTCTTGTTCTCTGTTTAGGCCATTTCCTGGTTTCTGCCTAATCCCCTCAGTGTGTTCTTATTTTGGTGACCTCTTGGTTGCTAGAGTCACTAATACATACTTTCAGTTCTATCTTATTTTTGACTTGTTTGAATTTGGTATTAACTTCTAATGCTGGTAGACACATCTACCTTAAAACTTTTCTCCATTAATTTCTGTGACCCCCTTTCTCCTGCCAGCCTATTTCTCTGACCTCTCTGTATCTGTTTTCTCTGGGGCTACTCACTTTGTCTCTTAAATGACTGCCTTAGTCTTCTTCCTATTTTTCATGCTCCGTTCGAACTGACATCAATAGTTTGTCTACCTCCTGCATCTCAATGCTTCTATAATCCAAAACTCCAACTCAAGCCTGTTTTCTCATTCTCCGGACACATAGCTGACTGCTGCTGGACATCTTCCCCAGGAGTGTGTTCCTGGGGTACCGTTCCCGTGCATTTTACTGTGATTGGTGCTCCTTACGAGACGGCTTCTCCATCTTTATGTTTCGTAGACAAGCCTAATTCACCAAAGCTAAATGAATCTTGTGCCTTAATTTTCCATCACACAGTTAATGTATCATCATCTCAGTTTTCTCCCTTTTGAACAATATCTTCACTTTATCACTGCAAACTCATCATTTCTTATTCACAAATTCTTGAATTTTTTCCCTTTCTTTTTTTTTTTTTTTCAGAGAGGTTTTTGCTATAGGGCGTGTGTGTTTGCTAGAAAGACAAAGAGAGACAGAGAGACAGAAAGCGAGAAATCATGCCTCAATCTCTTCTCCTCCATTCTCTTCTTGGGATCTTGGGCACACACGCACACATGCCTGGCTTGAGTTTAAGCCACTGGGCCCGGGACTTGAACCACAGTCGACCACATAGGAGTCCAGCGACACAGCCATTACACCAACTGCTGGTTCCCCAATTTATTCCTTTTCTTGAGATGGTGTGTGCATTTCGACTGGCCTCCACTCTGACACAGAAATATTATCATGTCACTATTCTGTTCACAGTTCTTTATTGGCTCCCCCTTACTCAATTGCAGGATGAAATTCAAGCGTTATACATGATTTAGGAGGCTCTCACCTACTTCTGTTACCTCCTGTTTTGTCGTTACTTCATGATTCCACATGTTCCCACCCTACGAATGATCTTAGCACACCCTACATTCTGCTGTTTTCTTACATGTGTGGTTTCCTGGGTCCCAGTGTCTCCATTCTGCCCCCTACCCATACACACAAGCTATCTAGTAAACTCCTGCTGCTTCTCTTTTGAAGTGCCCAAATAAAGCATACAGTTTTCATCCTGGAATCATTGGTGCACCTTTCTCTGTTCCCACTGTATTTTACATAGCATTGGCCTCAGGACAGTGTAATGATTGTTTTTGTGTTTCTCTTCACTAGTGGAAACTCCTTATGAGTAGGGACTTAAAATTTTCATCACTTTATCCCAGAATTCAATGTAGTGCTTGGTACTTTGAAGTCATTCAATAAACATTTGAGAAAGGAATAAACCTCTACTTTTTGTAATATGAATGATTTTCTTTATAAGAAGAAACAGTAGAGTATACTATGCCATATGTAGTGGAGATGTTAAAATTCTGAAATGATCATTATTTAATGTCCATTGAGCTACTTGTTTTATTTAACTGCTTGGGAACCATATATAGTTAACCGTATTAATCATCAGATTATATTGCTCTATGAATCATGAGCTTTTGGCATGTTTTGCAGATCAAGGATCTGGATTTTGTGTAACTGGTAAAATTGAAGCTGGTTATATCCAGACCGGTGACCGACTACTAGCAATGCCTCCTAATGAAACTTGTACTGCAAAAGGTATTTATCTGCAAGATGCTTTTGCTAAACAGTCCTTAAATTGAGATAGCGGATTTTTTAAAAGTAGTTTAGTTATAACTCTAAGTAAATAACCTCTTACTGAAATTGTAACTTATGGTCAAAATGATACTAACTGTTGAAGATTAGAATGTGAAAACTTTAAACGATTTTCTTCTGTTGTGACTATGTGTGTATGTATGTATGTAAAACATTCTAACTGTGGTGACATTCTGTTTTTGACTCTGATTTGAGAAGCTCGGTTAGGATTTAACCAGATGTACAGACACCTGACAGACACATTAAAAAAATGTGTTCTATAGCAGGAATTAAATCTAAACCCAACCTTTTTGAAATATACCTTTTAAAATAGCAGTTAGTAGCAGTTTTGATTATGTTTATAACAAATTATTTGTATATTTTATAGGAAGACCTAAGTAAGAAAGTAGGATGCAAATACCAGGGAAAAAAACCCTAACATTGAGAAATTGAGAAATAAGAGAAATTGCGAATTTGAGCTAGTTAAATTTCCACAGTTGCTGTTCCTTTTTTTTTTTTTGTAATTAATAGGTTTTTGCCTTAGGGCATATGGACTCACTGGGGAGAGAGAGAGAGACAAAGAGAGTGAGAGGGAAAATGAGAAGTCACCCCGCAGGAGGGATGGCCACCACAATCCCTTCTCCTTTATTCTGCTTTTGGGATCTTGGGGCACTTGTGCACATGTGCCCAGCATGAGTTTCAAGCCACTGAATTTGGGACTTGAACCACGGTTGGCCATGTGGGAGTTCAGTGATGTAACCACTAAGCCATCCCCTGATCCCTCCTTTTCCTTTTTTCGAACATCCTTAAATTGCCAGAGAGTGTGTGTACTCACTGGAAAAAGATAGAGAGACACCCAGTAGGCTGTGGTCACACTGTCACCCATGCGTTTCTGTTTCTTTATCTTGTTGGGATTTGGGGCTTGCATGCACATGGACCTGGCGTGTTTCTCAAGTAGTTGGGGCCAGGTTAGCCCTGTGGGATCTGGCTTCCTTAACCATAAGGGTATAGGGCCTACCCCAAACATTACTTAATACCATAATTGTTAACATTTTTGGATGAGGACTTTCTTTGATTTATTATGAAAGTTATAAATCGTTTTCTCAGGTTAATGCAGATATGCACACACATAAAATTTTAAATTGTAGGTCATCTCAAAGATCCTAATATTCTCTTTGAACTCCCTAAGTCTGTAAGGAACTGTTTCTTAAGAGTGTATTACGCAAGAAAAACAAGTACTTTCAGAAAGATAAGGGTGAGTTACAATTTACTGAAAAAATGTCAGTCAAGAATTATTTCACTGTGACTAGAATGTATACTGTTTTCATTAAAAAAGTATCAAGTACTCCAAGCATCAGTGGAAAGGAACTTAACCTCCTAATTTACCCCATGAAATTAGAAAATATGGAATATCTTTTTTAAAAGACTTTCTTTTTTTTAAAAAAAGAATAATTTAATTAATTAATTAATTAATATTAATTTGACCAGAGAGAAGCAGAGTGAGAGAGAGATGACCCCTTTTAAAAGCCTTTCAATAAGATAGCGAAGTATTGCCCTTGGGGTATGTTCTCCAGGCTATCTCTAGCACTCTGTCTAGGGAAATAGGTACATATCTCTAGGTATGTAGCAACACCTGGGTTTTGTGTTGTTTGTTCATTTATTTATTTCTTTACTTACTTACTAGAGAATATGTGCACTCACCAGGGAGAGAGAGAGAGACGGACAGGGAGGGGAGAATGCACTTTCCAAGGGAAATAGTCATACCACGATCCCTTTTCCATTTCTCCTCTTGTTGGGGTTTTGGTTACAAATGTATGTGTGCCCGACTCCAGGACCTGACTCACACAGTCAATCATGTGGATTCTAGCAGCTTTAACTGCCAAGCTACGGAGCCATTCAACCTGAGGTTGTTTTTAAATTTTATTTTCTCATCACTATGTCCTTATTCTTTTCATGTAACTAGTTACAGTATGCAGATCTCTCTCTGGGAAGAGTAGTTAAGGGGCCTACTGAGAGGACCATTTGGAATCCTAACTAAGTGTGTTGTCCCCAGTCATTTGGAGAACACAGGCCATTATTCAGATTGTAGTCTAATTAGACGTGAAGCTCAAGGAACTAAAATGCTACTAGACATACCTTCCCAGTTCTTTCATTGTTGTTAGTTTGCTATGGTGTGCTTGTGCTCACCAGAGCGAGAAAGTAAGAAATCACTTCTCAGTGGGGATGGCCATGCCACAATCCCTTTTTCTTCCAGTCTTCTCTTGGGATCTTGGGCACGCACCCACATGTGCCTGGCATGATTTTCAAGCTGCTAAGTCCGAGACTTGAACGTATAATCAGCCATGTGGGATTTAGATGCCTTAACCTCCATGCCACCTGTTAGTCTCTCAGTTTTATCTTTTATAGCCATTAGCAATGAACTATTTGATTATACCTACAACCATAAATGTTGTAGAAATATTTGAATAGGGCCTGTTTAATGACTATGAACAGTTATGTTAATGAGTTTAAAATCTTGATTAAATAAGAAGTCTGCCTTTTCTCGCTAAGTACAAGTCCCTTTATGTTTAGGGTGGTGTTCTGTAAGAGTCAAGTCTAGAGGAAGTATGTTTTCCTCAATGCTCACAGTTTTAGTTCTCACTCTCAATCTATTCATATTGAAAATGATGAGTAGTGACTGATGAAGCACAAACTAGCCAAATTCTCTTGGTTGTTATGGTTGATACCGAGGTGTTTGACCGTATGCTTTGGTTCTTACTCATTTCCAGGAATCACTCTGCATGACGAACCTGTTGATTGGGCAGCAGCAGGTGATCATGTTAGTCTTACTTTGGTTGGGATGGATATCATCAAAATCAAGTAAGTGAGAAAATTAATTTAAGCAATGATTGATTTAGATATACAACCTCAAAACTCATAAATTTTGTAATCTCCAGGTCAATTTTGAATCCAATTTGGTCAAAAATAGATAATTGTGTAAATATAAAATTGGAATTAATACAGTGTCAGCACATATACTTGGCATGTCCTTCAAGAGAAAGCTGTAATGTATGAAAATGATGTAAAGTTTGTAGTGGTTCAAAGCCAGGGTTTAACCCAGGATTATTTATAAAAGGTTCCTAATTTACATAATTGTTTTACTTTTTTGGTAAATGGTTTGAGAGGTAATCCTATCTGATGTAAATATAATTATCCCCCAACTACCTTCTCTCTCTCTCTTTCTTTTTTACAGTGTAGGCTGCATATTTTGTGGCCCCAAAGAACCCATTAAAGCTTGCACTCGTTTCAGAGCCCGAATCCTCATCTTTAATATTGAAATTCCTGTCACTAAAGGATTTCCTGTAAGTTTCAACATGTTTTATTATTCTTGTTTTTATAAATTCATGTAATTTTATTCTAAAAAGTAATTAAAAAAATTTTTTTTGAGAGATAATGACTATAGTTTCAAGCAAGCAGGTAACGCAGTAATCCTCAAGGAAAAGTGCTTGAGACTAAGGATCTCTGCCTTTTTATTGGAATGGAGCTAGACATAGTTATATGCTTTGAGCAGGGAGAACTACAATAAAATATTTCAGTTATAATAGTACCTGCATAATAACTTTTTTGGTAAGTTGTGATGCAGTATTTATTTTCAGTAAACATTTTATTCATCTAATCTAGGAAAACAAAATTAGAATTTGAAAATCATTTTTCTTTTAATTTCAATGTTTGAGCTTGAGGGCTTTTACAAAAAGGCATAAAGAAGGTACTTCATGACCAGTAGGTTACAAACTGATGATAATTAGTTTTCCCAAGAAAATGATAGATATGTTTCACTGTGTTTTAAAATTTACCTGTCTAATATTTTTTAATTGGGTGTTTCTGATTTTTTTATCTTGTTTAATTTGCTTTTTCTAATTTTTTTTTTTTTTGAGAGGTTTTTGCTATAGGGTGCATGCACTCGCCAAAGAGACAGAGAGAGAGCAAGAAATCACTCCCCCATGGGAAATGGCCATGCCGCAATCCCTTCTCCTCTATTCTCTCAGATCTTGGTCACGCACGCACATGCTCCCGGTGTGAGTTTAAGCAACTGGGACTCAAACCACGGTCAACTACATGGAAGTCCAGCAACATAGCCATTATGCCAACTGCTGGTCCTGCTCTTTCTAATTTTTTTATTATTGGGTTGTCGAAAACGTCATGACTTATTTTTCTGTTTTCCTATGCAAAAATGCATCATGACTTTTCCAGTAAACCAATATAAAAATAAGAGATTGTTTTAGGAAGTTTTGGAAGACACAAAAAATACAGAAAATAAGGATGATCTGTAATTGTGTAATCCATAGATAATCTGTTCTGTGCATTTCAGTTTATTTTTATGTATACATATTATTTGCCCAGTATGTGTGCATACCGATATTTATGGGTGTGTCTTGGGGATCCTTGATATACAGTAAACTTCAGTTGTGTGGAAACAACACATTCAGACTTTGCATGCTGTGAGGTTGTTGCAGGTCTTTATGACTAGTAGCATTTGAATAATTTATGTGGGAGTAGGGTAATGCTGTAATGTTACTTATCCAGGAATGATATTACCTGCTAATTCCCTAAATTCCTTGTCTTATATGTCATTTCTTTTCATATACATAGGACCATACTCATTATCGTTTGGTACCTTTTACTTAACAGACAAATAGTTTCTCATTAGACTTTTTTATCTGATTATCTTATGTACTATGGATTCTACATAACAAAAAAGTTCCTCAATGGTATTAAATACTTTCCCTTTGAAAATATAATGATCATTTTTATTATTTGCATCTTTGGAATAAAAATAGGATAGTAATTATACTTGACTTTTAACTTTTTAATGTTCATGTAAGTGTTTTAGATCAGGTGTAGTGTTTCAGATAGGTTGTAATGTTCGTGACAGTGTTTTAGAGGTTGGAAATGCATGTATTTAGGTCATTTTAAATTTATTTAATAATTATATGTGTGTTTGAGAAAAGCATGTATTTTGCTTATAATTCCTTGTAATTATTTCTATGTAAAGTTGATCCTGTGAGAAGTATATTTGTAAGATAATGCTTAAGTACCTTATAATTCCGTTTTTTTCCATACACTAAAATAGGAATTAAAATATCTCTGATACAAAAAGTTGTTGAAGTTGAAAATATTTAAATATTCAGAATTAATTTATTGATCAGCAGTTTAGCTACAGGTTAATTGCTTATGAGCCCATGGAACTCATTCATAGAAAGCAAAATGCGTATGTCCTACTGGGGAGAAGGTGGAGAGGTTAGCGCAGTGTGTTTTTACTCATCCAATAATAATATTCACAAGTGGAGAGGTAAAGAGGTCAAGAGGTCAGTAGTAACTTTAAATAGTAATACTGTCTTCCTGTCAGCTGTAGTTTCTTAAAAATAAGCATGAATTGAAAGTTTTTCGGTGTCACATTATGAGATTCTGCCTGCTTATATTGATTCGCAAATACCAGGATTAAATTTGTTTCAGTAAAAAATGGTCATATTTTGTCAATCAACCCATTCTTCACTGGAAATTAAAAAAAAATGTTTTTGACTAAAGAAAAGCTTTCTTAAGCAATTATGATTTCACTATTGAGGGACTAATTCTTTTTTTTTTCTTTTTTTGGAGAGGTTTTTGTAGTAGGGCATGTGCGCTCGCCAGACAGACAGAGAGAGACAGACAGAAAGCGAGAAATCACCCCCCAGGGGGGATGACCACGCCGCAATCCCTTCTCCTCCATTCTCCTCTTGGGATCTTGGGCACGCACGCACGCACACACGCCCGTCATGAGTTTAAGCCACCGGGTCCGGGACACGAACCTCGGTCGACTACGTGGGAGTCCAGCGACATAGCCATTACACTAACTGCTGGTCCCGAGGGACTAATTCTTAACACTACAGAAATATATTTAATAACTTTCCTTTAGTTTATATGGCAAACTATATTTTTAAAGAAAAAAATGGAAGATTAGACTTTGAGTGAATTAATGTTTGACTTTATTATTTTGGGAAAAATATATATAACATCAAATTTACCATTTTAACTCTTTTTAAGTGAACTATTCAGTGGCATTAAGTATATCCACAGTGTTATACAACCACCACTATGCCTTTCTAGAACTGTTTCATCTTTCCCAAATGAAAATTTGTAAATAGTAACTCCCCACTATCTCATCCTTCTATTCCTAGGTGAATACTGTTCTATTGATACTTTCTCTACGAATTTGCCTGTTCTGAGTTCCTAACATAAGTGGAGTCATACAGTATTTATCCTCTTGTGTCTGTTTTATTTCATTCAATGTTTTCATAGTTTTATACATATTGTAGCATTTATCAGAATTTTATCCTTTTTGAAGGCTGAAATAATATTCCATTGTGTGTATATGCCATATTTTGTTTATCCATTTATCTGTTGATGGAGATTTGGATGGTTTTCATCTTTTGGCTATTATGAATAGTCTATCTTTGAACATGTGTGTATAGTTATTTTTTTGAGTCTCTGCTTTTTTTTTTTTTTTTGAGCATATTCCTAGGAATAGAATTGCTGGATCTTGTGATAATTTTATATTTTAACTTTGGAGGAACCACTGAACTATTTGGCTACAACATTTTACATTCCTACCAACAGTGCAAAGTGTTCTGTTTTCTCCATTTTTCATCAACCCTCATCTTCTATTTTTAGGAGGGAGGTATTAAGTTTTCTTTTCAAGAGTAGCCAAACTAATGGGTATAAAGTAGTATCTAGTGATGGTTTTGATCTGTACTTCTCTAATGATGTACGATGGTGAGCATTCTGTGTTTGTGTATCTTCACTGGAGAAATGTTCATTCAAGTCTCTTGCTCATTTTTTAATTAGTTTATTTTTTGTTGTTGTTATTTTTGGGTTATAGGAGTTTTTTAATACTCTTTTAGTCCCTTAGAAGATATATGACTTACAAATGTTTTCTCCTATTCTGTGAATCTTTTTTTTTAATTTGGGTGAAATATAATTTATTTTTCTTTTGTTGTCTATGCATTTGGTGTTTTATCCAAGAAATTATTCTAGAATCCAATGATGGGAAGCTTTTGCCCTATGTTTTCTTCCGAGAGTTTTATAGGTTTAGTTCTTACATTTATTTTATTTTATTTTCCTTTTTTTAAAGATATTTTTGCTATAGGACACATTTGCTCCCTGAAGAGACAGAGAGAAAGAGAGAAAGCGAGAAATCACTCCTTAGGGGGATAGCCATACCACAATCTTTTCTCCTCCATTCTTCTCTTGGGATCTTGGGCATGCATGCACACATGCCTGGTGTGAGTTCTAAGCCACCAAGTCCAGGACTTGAACTGCGGTCAAATATGTGGGAGTCCAGCAATGTAACCATTATGCCATTTGCTGGTCCCTAATTCTTACATTTAGATCTTTGATCCATTTGGAATTAATTTTTTTTGTGCAATGAAATCTTTTGCATATATCTTATTTTTCTGGCAACATTTATTGAAAAGACTGTACTTTCCCTAATTAAGGGGCTCATCACCCTTGCTGAAAATCAAATGACCATATATTCACTGACATTTAAATAATATAGGTTACCTGGAGGTTTAGGGAAAATAATAACTTATTTTGCCATTTAACAGGTTACCTAGTCCATGATAGTTTATAAACAGTAGATAGTTTGATTCTCATAACTCCACCTAAGTACAGAGTACTAACCCTTATCTGAAATCCTTTAGAACAGTTTGCTTCAGAATTCAGAAATGGTGGGATTCTAGAAAGATAAATGATAGATTCATGGTATGTAGAACGTCCGGCAGAGCAAGGGACACCTCCTATAATCAAACATATTAATGTTTCTGCACCAAAACTTACTAACACTAGGTGAGATAAATAAGGATTATAAATTATCTCACTTCAAATCTGATTTTGCTACTTAAATGGGTTTCCAACAATCTTTGTTAAAAAGCTTTGGATTTTCAGATGTTTGGGGAATTTTTGGAATTGTAGTTAAGAGAATGTGGGCTTGTATCTATATTGTGTCCATTTACTGGTGAGGAACTGAAGACTCAGAGAGGTTGTGACTGTATGAATAGTAAGTGGTTAAGCCAAAACTCATTACTCATCACATTTACTTTGTAAACCAATGCTTTTGTTTCTCTGTTAAATGTTTTGCAGATTGCTTTGAATTATAGAAGATTTTGGCTAGGTGTTCAATGAGTTAAATAGTCAAGGTAGTGTGTAGATTTTTCAGTCACGAGTTCAAGTATTTTGTCTGAGCTACTATTTGTAAGATGCTGTGGAGAGAGAAAGTCAAACAAAACCTAACCCCATACCACCCCAAACCATTCTTCTTCATCTAGCCTGATCTTACCCTGAAACACAAGAAAGCTCACAGAAGGTTCATGTGCCTCTGTTGTTTTAAATTTGGCAACTAATGGAGAACTGTTCTGTAATCACAATTGAGCTCAGAGAAGGGCTTTCTGCTTGCCTAACTAAGCTGTTGGTTAGAAAAGAGCTATTTCTTAGACATTAGGACTTACGCTGATACTGCATTGGTTCTATTTGAGAACTGAGTTTATTGTGTGCGCAGTTTACCATGCATTGCGTCAGGCTTTTTACTCTGGAGAGTGAGTTAGTCATTTCAGAATCTTGCAGTTAACAGTCATCAAGTGCCACTTAAAAAAAAAAAAAGAAACTATTTTGCTTTTTTGGAGTAACAGCAGTTCAGCTGCGCCTGTTTTTCCTAAATTATGCACATTTAATTACCTTTTACATTTATGTTTTCTGAATGTGCATATTCTTTTGGCCAGGAAATTTCAGAGTAGAAGTTTCTGTGTTTCTACAATCAAAGATCATAAAGTGGTATTTACCAACCAATTAAAACTTGATAGTTTTGTATTTCCTGGGAATTTGGTCTTTCCATACCCCAACTATAGACATATTGCAGACATGATACTTATGATTTGAATTAGAATAGTTCTGTCTATGTTCTGGTTTGGATTAGAATCTATCCAAGCCTTGGCTGCTGCTTCTATAAAATGAAAGGTTTTATTTATGTGATCTCTTTTCACCCTTTGTAAGCTGAAATGAAGTTTGAGATTTGAGTTCCAAGGGACATAAGTTTAAAATTCAACTCTGACACATTCCATCATGACCATGTTAAATTACTTAACCTTTTAGATATCCATTTTCCTTACATATAAAACATGGAGATTAATAGGTAATAAATAAGGTCATTATTTAACTGAATGTTTATGTTGTGTCAGGCACCACTTTAAATAACAATCTGGGGACCAGCAGTTAATATAATGGCTGTGTCACTGGACTCCCATGTAGTTGACTGTGGTTCAAGTCCCAGCCTTGGTGGCTTAAACTCACACCGGGCTTGTGTGCATGCGTGTCCAAGATCCTGAGGAGAACGGAGGAGAAGGGATTGCGATGTGGCCATCCTGCCTGGGGGGTGATTTCTTGCTTTCTGTCTCTCTGTCTCTCTCTGTCTTTCTGGTGAGCACAGGCACCCTATAGCAAAAATAAATAAATAAATAAGTAAATAGATAAATAACATAATCTGTTTTTTCTCATTTTAGCAATAAGGAACCTGAGACTGGGCATTTCAAAGGTAGTGAATTGTTATAGAACTTGCACCAAAACCACACAGCTAGAATGTGATTTGAACCCAGGTCTGTCTGACTTCAAAACCTATCTAAATATTTGAAGTCCCATATAAATTAAGTTAAATAGTACCTATATATTATATCATACAATGGTTGGCATCCACTGGAGTTGAAAAAAGTTTTATTTTCCTTTTGTCTTTATACATTATAATAGTTAATGTATTACTTATTGCTGACTGCGACATTATCCCTCTTCTCATGTTTTTTCTTTTTTTTGGGAGAGGTTTTTGCTATAGGGCGCGTGCGCATGCCAGAAAGACAGAGAGAGACAGAGAGACAGAAAGCGAGAAATCGCCCTTGAGGGGAATTGGCCATGCCACAATCCCTTCTCCTCTATTCTCTTGGGATTTTGGGCATGAACGCACACATGCCCAGAGTGAGTTTAAGCCACTTAAACTCACCAGAGTCAGAGTGAGTTTAAGTCCAGGACTCAAACCACGGTTGACTACATGGGAATCCAGCGACGTAGCCATTGCAGTAACTGCTGGTCCTGCCCTTCTTCTGTTTTTAAAGTGGAGGGATTTTCATTTGTTAAACATTTGTTGTATCAGGCACTTTGATCCTGTCTAATTTTCATCACAGCTCTGTAAAAGCTGACTTAACTTACAGCAGAGGAAACTGAGGGACACACAGATTATAGTGAAAGTCTAGGGATTTCATCTCAGGTTCTTTACGTGTTATGCTACTTAAACTAATGACAATGTCAACATCAATAATAATTGTGCTGAGTGATAAGTTTTTAATGCGAATCTATACAGCCACCCTACCGTATTTTTATCCTCTACTTTTACAGAGGAAAAGCTGACAGGAGTGTTATATGATTTATGAAAGTTTACACATAAGTGGTGGGGTAGGAGTCTGAACAGCCTCTTGTGACCTGTCCTCTTAGTAAGTGAAGTGGCTCCAGGTTAGGGTGGTGGGATTGGAGGAAGCAATTCGAGATCCTGAAAGACTCCAAGCAGCAGTGTCTGAGTGTAATTACATGTCACTCCCAACAGAAGGCCAGAGGTCAATGATAAAGTTATTTAGTGTTACTATTTTTTTGTTGTAGGTGCTGTTACACTACCAGACTGTCAGTGAACCTGCTGTGATTAAACGATTGATAAGTGTCTTAAATAAAAGCACAGGTGAAGTCACAAAGAAAAAGCCCAAGTGAGTGTTTTATTAATGAATTGCATTAGAATCACAAGGAATTTAACCAAATTCCTTACAAATTAATGCATATATATAGTATTTCTCTTTGTGGTAAGTGAAGTACACAAACACAATGACAAATATAATAACAAATATTTAAGCTCCTCTTTAGGTATGAATGCCAGACATAATTTCTGTTATATATGGTGGGACTGGCTGTAAATTATAAATATAAAATGTAAATACAACACCATCCCCATAGCCTAATGATTATGAGCGCTAGATCCCACATGGCCAAATGCCGTATGACTCCCAGCCCTGGCAGCTTGGAAGACTTACCTGGTACGTGTGTGTGTGTGCCCAAAATCCTGATGGGAAGAAGGAATGGAGAAGAAGGGATCCTATTATGGCTATACCTCACTGTGGAGATGTTTTCTCCCTGTCACTCTATTTCCGTCTCTCTGGAGAACACGCGAACCTTTGGGCAATTTTTAAAAATGTGTATATAAATTTATATGTATGTATGTAATATAAATTTATATGTATGTATGTATCAAGCTCTAGGTATTGGTGATATCAAAATAAGGGCATTTCAAAAGCCAGTCATACATTTAAAATGATGCATTTGAATTATGTCTAACTCTTGGTTTCACATTACAGCTGCATGGTTTTTTAACTTGTCCCTTCTTTGATGTGTTCATTCCCTATGCTAAGAGTAAAATGATCCATACACTCTATAGCACCTATTTATTTTCCCACCTGGGAAGTATTTTCCTTTCTGCTAGAAGTCTACTGGAAGCTTCAGGCCGAGGTGATCATCACTATATTGATCTCCTCTGATTACCATTAATATTTATGCATAGGCGTGGATTATTTCCCTTTGGCTGAGAGGTTTTCAAAGGAAATACTTTCTGAGAAAACAAGTATTAGAGAAAAAGCAAAATCCAAAAGACTAGAGATGAATGTTCCAAAATACAGATTTCTTACCCTAATTCATCCAGAGTCTAATTACACTTTGGCTTGGCCACTTCAGCTTTGGGGTTTTCCTCAACTTCAGCTCTCTGGGGAATCCCACCCAAAATCCCCTTTTTTCAGTCCTTAGGTGTTTGCTCCTCAGCTTCTGCACCTGCGTAAGAGGCAAAGGTGGTTAGTGGGTTCATCGGTTGGCTGCAAGTGGAAGAGAGAATCTTTACACTGCTGCAAACCCATGCCTATTTCTCTGTTAGGAAAGAACTAATTTACATCTTTCATAAAGATAGTTTTTAAAATTTTTAACCTGAGTCTTTAGCTCTTAGCATGAATGTTTGCCGTAATGTTCTGAGAAACATAGTATAATTACATTGCTAACATTTCTTTTTTTTTTTTTTTTCTTGAGAGATTTTTTGCTATGGGGCATGTGCACACACCCAAAAGACAGAGACAGAAAGCAAGAAATCGCCCCACAAGGGGGATGACCAGGCCACAGTCCCTTCACCTCCATTCTTCTCTTGGGATCTCAGGCGTACACACACACTCACATGCACCGGGCGTGAGTTTTAAGCCTCTTGGTCTGAGACTCCAACCACTGTTGACTGCATGAGAGTCCAGTGATGTAACCATTAAGCCATCTGCTCTTCCCAATTGCTAACATTTCTTGGAAGACTACTGTTTCTTAGGCTCTATTATAAATGCCTGCATATAATTTATATTCTCAGTAATTGGTCGAAGCAGCTAGCCATGTTACGCAATGCTTATAAGTGGCAGAGGCAGGAGTCTACCTCAGCCAGTTCATTTATTTATTTGATGAAACCATTTTCAATCTGGCCCATGTCCTATTCTCCTTCCTTTCCTACAGCTATCATATTAAGAAAAATCTCCTTATGTGATTTTTTTCCTGAATACCTGCTAAGGAATATTTATTTATTCCTGTCTTGGGTAAAAAACATGTACACACTGAGAAGAAGAGAGTTTAAAGATAACTTCTAGGGCCAGCTTGATGGACTGGTGGTTAAGGGAGACAGATCCCACTACGCATTTCAAATCCCAGTATCAGTGACTTGAAAAAGCTGCCAAGTATGTGTGCATGCATGCCCCAAATACTGACAAGATGGAGAAATGGAGGAGAAGGGATTGTGGTGTGACCATGTCCCATTGGGGGATGCTTTCTGTC